TTTCCTAGTCGCTGAAGCTGAGAGCTGAAGACGCTGGAAAGGACATTATTGGTCGCTAGTCCACGCCGTCGAAAAGTGTGAAGTATGCCGAAGGGACCGGAATGTACGAAGAGTTGAGTTCTTCTCTTCAGCAAAAAAGATTTCGTCTTTTTCAGCAGAAGCTCAAAATCTCATGATCGCTACTGTTAACAAGAAAGCTTCGCTGTGAAAATAGAAGATCGCAAGGGGAACTACACTCTCTGGACAAGGAGGCGGAGCTACTTATGACCAGGGTACAGCATCGTTGTGTGAAACACATAGGGGGTCGTACTTTTCCGCTGGGGAGGGGGGGTCGTATTTGGTCGTTGGGAGAGGGGGGTCGTATGTGCCTTCAAGAGCAATTTGCTGCGTTGGGAAGAAAATTTTCCTGGTTGTTGACTTTTCACGTGATTTTTCCTGTTTCACAAATACCCCTGCTCGACAGAAAATCTTTGGGTGGAAAACTGTGTGGGAACTTGGTAGGTAGGTGTTGGGGAATGGTGAGGGGGTCGTACCGTGACTACCACTCAGGTGTGGGGGGGGGGTCGTAACTGCACCACCATTACACATATCACGATGCTGTACTCTGGCTATGACCATGTGCAGTATGACGCAGGCGTAGGGCAAACCTAGGGCAACACGTTCATGTACTTGCAGATTTCCTCCTTGCTAATAACTAACAATGCAGCTGTGCTGTAAATCTCATCTTGTGCGCGTGTATATGTCACCCTCCTCCCCCCCCCCCACCTCTGCGAGACAAGACATTTGCGAGTCCGTTGGTGAAAATTTTCGAGGACACTCTGGAAGGTGTACTACTTTGTCCGACTATCAAAAAAAGGCGCGTCACCAGTTTCATTGAGTTCACTCATTCCAGCGCGATGGTATAACTGATCGTGTATAGGATTGTCCATACTCAACTATTAAAGACTGAGACAGGGGCGCGGGCACCGAAAGAGTGTTTTCTTCAGTTGACTTCTGTTTGGTGCTCCATCACTTCTTTAAGGCGAGTGGCACGATAAAGTTATGACGTGTAGGATCAAAACGCCTAGCAGAACAGAATTCGGCGCCTCTGAGCAGGCTCTGCGTGGCACCTTTTTCAAAGAAGGTGCCCTTATAGCGCCCTACCAAGCTGCAACATACCGACCCGGACGCCCACCGCCCCGCCCGCCCACAAATGTCCGACCGATGCTGATGCTCGTATCGCTTCATTTGCGGTGTACAGGATGAAGCGAAAGGACTGATGTGAAGAAGTTGCGGCACTGCATGGATATATGGGTACGTACAGCCAGCCGTCTCTACAGCAGCTATTATTGGCACGATGCCAACGGGAAACTCGTCCGCATTCTGTGTCATGTAGAACAAAGGGTTTTTTGCCAGTTTTTGACAGTTTCACTTCAGCTTTTTCGTCGTTTCCCCGCTATGCTGCTTGACAGTTATACTCAGCTTTTTCGTCGTTCCCCGCTATGCCCCAAACACCACTGCTACAACGGCCTATCACATTATCGTGCCTTCTGCCCTTCAACTCAAGCGGAAATGACGCCGGCACTAACAGCAAGGACCTGACTGTTGTGCACTCATTCAGAGTGGCTTCTGCCTTTTGGATAGACTGATCCCACAGAAAAAGCGTCGCTCAACAAGGCTCATTAGCTTACCTTATTGACTCCAATACAATATACATTATACATGACCCGCTGAAACTGATGAAAATTCGTCGTTTTATACGATAGCGGTGATATGGGCCACTTTTTCGTAGTTCACTCGTTCTTTCTCATGAAACATCAGTCAACATCAGTCATGAAACCAACAGTTTTCGGTTGGAAGATAGTCCTGTCACTGACAGGGCACGGCATCCGATCATCATCATACCGTCCCTATCTAGCACCTATGAATTTTTCTTAGTGGCTGTGAATTCCTCTTGGCTGCTGACTTACCTATGTTCCCCGTCTCATGCTGTGCTCTACAGGGGGGGGGGGCAAAAAAAAAGTTTTTTCTTCCTTGACTTTCGAGGCGTTATAAGTTACACTTTATTAAATTCTTATCGGATATTTCCACCACCATATTCATTATTAAGCATATCAAATACTATTATGATACCCCGCCACAGCCTTCTGGAGGAGCGCCATCGAGAGATTCTGCCGAACGACCGTGAGTGGGTGCCTGAGTTCAGCGAGATCGTTGATTTCTCCGCCACTGTAGAGACCACCCTATTGACTCCGCCCGAACCAGGTAATTGAGCGGCCACCCCACCCAAGTCAACTCACCGATACCACACCGACGTTTGGCGTCAGATGACATGCTGAAGATTCCACCTTCTCAGTACTCAAACGCCCTTCCATTCCAAGTAGGCAAGAGTTTTCCAACGCCCTTTGATTCCATGTGGTGTCACCCAATCCTCTGTAGCAGTACAAAGTTTCCAAGAAGGTACGGGCCTGGCGAATGACGACATGTGGGAGGATATCTTCTCGAGTTGCCTCGATGAATCGCCAGCTGCTGACTTTCAGCCGGCGCGGCACCGCGAAGAAAATATTCGCGTCTCTTTGTTCCAGGTACGTCCGCGTCAATACCCATCAACCGCGCCTTAAGCGACTGCGGTGAAGATGATGTCCTAGACCGTGGCGACGTTGTCGGAGCTGCTCGATGTTGGAGGTCATCCAGATCGAGAGTACTGGTCTCCAGGTAGCTATCCATGGGTGACTCCACACGCTAGAAGTTTCGCAGCTGTTTGGAGGTGACATGAATTCCAAAGGTCTTCTCCAGTCAGGCTGCGACTGGAGATGACTTCATATTTTGGTGTACATGAAGGTGATGGGCGAGAGCCAGCTCCTGCTTATAGAGGAACATCTTGGGTATCTTCCGCCCTGGTACTCGTATCCACGTCCTCTGTCTGGGCTGCGAAAACTTTGCTGATATGTGACTCGGTCGAAATGTCTTCCCCCCCCCCTGTATATCCTCGTTATTCCCTAACTACACCCCCCCCCTCGCTGCTACCTAATTTCAAAAGGGAAAATTGGAAAATGACATGGAAAATTGTAGTACGTTGGGAAAATTCAGGAAGGTAGTGAATGGGATGGGGAGGTCTTACCATAGAAGGAGTAGGGAGATGGGTGTTCACCGCCACATCACACTTCACTTGTTTGAGCGAGTTTTCCTTCGTTAGTGCCAATATCATCTCCTTTCTCTTCTTCCATCACTCAGTGTTTTGAATGGAGGTAGCTAGTAGGGACAGGGTAAGCATCGCTGTGTCATGGGGGTCGCACTTTTCCGCTGGGGAGAAGGGGGGGGGGTCGTATTTGGTCGTTGTTGGAGAGGGGGTCTTATGTGGTTTGAGAGAAATCTACCGCGTTGAGAAAATTTTCCGCGGTTGTTGACTTTTCCTGATTTTTCCTGTTTCAGGTATATGTAAATCATTCTTCGTCCCCCTCCCCCGGCTCGACGGGAATTTCCGGGTAAAAAACTGGCAAATGTGGGAAATTGGTAGGTAGGTGTTGGGGAGGGGTAAGGGGTCGTACCGAGACTTACTTCTAGGTGAGGAGGTCATACTGACACCACCATTTCACACATCACGATGCTGTACCCTGTGCTGGGAACCAGTTGCGTCCGGTAGACGTTCGCAATAAACGTTGAGTGGGGTATTAGGCAGTGGATGAAGGTCTTAATTGAGATTAAATAATACAAAATGAATGAACGTATACTCATGTGCTCAAAAATTTCGCGAATTTTTATGAAGACTTTCACCGACGCGCTGGTAACATATTATTCCTCATCATGGTATTCCCTGTATTATGCGCTAGGTCCCAGCAACAGTAGCAAGATTACTCCAGCAGTGGATATAATGGTAAATGGTATAATGATGACAAAGTCTTCGCCGTTTGAATGTGAAACACATAAAAGAGGCACCAAAAATTTCATTGCAAAAAACTCAAAAGATCCAAAGTATCCAAAAGTTTTGAAATTTTTTTATTGTTTATGTTCCTTTCTTCGAATATTTCGGTGCCTAGCACCTTCTTCAGCGATCTGAAATACTACAGTTAGCCGCCTCCAACCGAATCCTGAACCTTGCCTTCACTTATGCTTGACGGGAAATTTTTGGGTAAAAAAGTGGGAAATGTGGGAACTTGGTAGGTAGGTGTTGGGGAGGGGGAGGGGTCGTACCGAGACCCACTTCTAGGTCTAGCAGAACCGCCTGGGATAGAATGATATGTGAACAGTAATGGTGGGTGAAAGAACGGGATAGCAAGTGGCTGGAGCTGATAAGGATATGTTGGCGTTGTCGTCTTTCTAACAATGTAGCTGCGGCTTTTAATTCTTTTTTATTTTCAAAGCATGTTTTGTGATAGAAACATGCGGAGTTTTATTAAAGGCAAGCCAATTATTAGAGATTCAATGACACACGGGCAAGCGCCGGTAATGGATGATCGAGACTCCCTAACCCCTTACGTTACCTTAGCGTGTAGTGCCCAAACAAGTCATCTCCCCACCCGAATCAACACGAGGTCTTCATGCGTTGCATTGGCACCAGGAACAAAATTCTCTTCAGGACTTAGCACATTGACAAAAGAGGCGTTCTCTAGAATTGTCCTACGTGCGACAAAATGATGAGCAGCGACAAAGAGAAGCGTGGATAGGGGAAATCGGGGTGTTTTCGCTCGTCTCGTCTCGCTATGATTAGCAGGAATTTCATTAATACAGTATCTCGTGTACTGTATCGCATATCTCAGGGCAACAAGGGGCGTGGCTGTGAGAGCGGTCAGGTCCAGACTAACGAGAGGCATACATACAAGCAGACCTATAAGAGCATTGGCGTATGTTTTGGCTCTGGAATATGCTAACGGGAGACGCCTCTTTTTCAACCCGCTGGACATGGGCGCTTACGCTAGCAGCAACTCTTCACTAAGCGACCCATATTGCATTTCATAGACTTTTCAATTAGAATAGTTCAAATGCTTTATTTATAGCTATACAAAACGATTAGGAATCATTCTTTAGAGCTTGGGCTCTCCGCCAACGACTCCTGATTCGATTCCGCATTCGTCAAGACCGCGGACGATTCGGAAGAATCCTGCAATACATGGACATGACCATGTGTGAACAACTGTCAAAGTAAATTCTACGTACCCTTCTCTCCCCAATCAGAGTTCCAAGAGTTAGAGCAGATCCAGTAGGGAGTACCGTTCTCCGTTCCCCATCCGATCATTTTTACTGCATGTCCTCCAAGAAGGGAGCCAGGCAGGTGTGCTTGAGGAAGAGATAAATTAGCTGAGAAATGAACCCTTATTAACCTGTTGCTGCGTTCTTTAGCCTGAAATGATGTTGAGCGGATTACCCATACTTGTTCTTGTTCAGCTCTAGTGAAGGCGACAAGACCAGATCTGTCAGAGCAAGTTGAGGCAGTCTAACTGTTGACGTAACTCTTTGCTTTCTCTGCCGCGAACAGAAGCGGAGAAGCTTGCAGCTGATCTAACCTATGGGATGAGCCACATATGTCAATTTTTCTTTCGATATGTGGTATTCCTGCGTGCCTGTCGGCCTTTACATATTAACTAGGGACAGCGATTTCGCAGGTTAAACCGAGTGTTCATCCTCCAGGACAAATCTGGTACTATTAACACCGAAACGCAGCTCCACAAAACCCAACGGAAATCGATCCATGGCTTACAATGTGTTCATCGGCAATCAAGAACTGCCGTTTTCATCGGCATCAAGAACTGCCCTCTTACAAGTTGCTCCCCTTACTACAAACCGTATAGTTATCCATTGGAGGAGTTTCACACCCGGGCGTGGAGAGTTCAGAATACATTACTAGATTGACGAAACTTTGAAAGACCTGATTTACAAGTGAACAAAGTGAAACTGAATCTTGGGCATCGGCTGCAACCCAAATTAAAAGTGGTTTGTGGTCCAAGGACCCAATACGAGCTGTACCCATAGGTGAAGGCATAGGCGGACCCTAGTTGCACTTTCCTTATTGGCAGGCTTCCCTTTCAATACATTATGAAGAAGGGCGCACCAATGAGGAAACTACAAAGGGGCGCCTGACCCCGCCTATGTCGTGCCTGTAAGATTGGCATGTGGTGTGCATTCCCAAGACTTTTGACTGGATTTCTTGCTATATAGCCATGTGTCTACCATCGTTCATCCCTACTGTAGCTTACTGGAAATGAATTTCTGCAGCCTGTTTACGAGGATGGATTATCAAATTATTTTTTTCCTTCTCTCCTCTTTTCACTTTTCCTAGTTCCTTACTGTTGAACTACTACATTTATTTTTCTGACTTCTGATTAGAGCGATGTACGGTAGCTTTCTCGGTATCTCTTCATCTAATTTAGATAGGGCAGTATGGTAGCGATGCACAGGGTCGTTGCGGACTTCACATCAAGGGGAGGGGGATTGGTGGCCACATTTGGCCCAAACTTGGAACTTTTTAAGTGTTTCTTGGTCCTCCAGGTAGGCAGACTTAAAGCTGTCGTTCGCAGATGAGGTAGTTACCTTCAGCTACACTCGAAAGGGACTCTGGGATGAGATAGGCGTGGCTGCGTACTTCAACTATCCGTGGAGGTGGTCATACTTTTGGAGAGACATTTCCATTTTGGCACAGTCGGGGCTGCGTCTCACCCGGAAAAATGACAGTTGTATCAAACTGGAATATTCCACGAGCAACCCATTCTATGCAGTGCTCAAAGGCCACGCCTACTCCGTCTCAGGGATAAGTGGTCTATTTTAGGACTTAGAAAATGTTTGAGTATGGGGTGTGATGAAGCTTTATTGAAGAACTTAGTTCCATACCTTCCCATGACGTTACCTGTGACGTGGATGGATTCGAGCGCTGCTTTCTTTGAACTATGAGGACTCTTGGAACTGTCGCTCAGAATTTCTAACTTACCACGTAAATGCCGCCGGTGTAATGTTCGAAGTCTTCATAGACGTTGAAGGAGACCTCAACGGGTCCATTGGTCATGATTTCCTTCTGAATATCAGTCACCTTCTTCGACACGGCGTATGCTGTCGCTCCTGAACATTGGTCTCATCACTGATCTTATCACTTGTACGGCATGCGGCAGCAAATCACGCTATACGACCGCTGATTACGAATGACGCACGAGATTATCAGTTTATGGTAGTCTGATCTTTTATCACAGCCTACCGCTTACTGCGGTAATGCGAAACGATCAGATAATTCAGTAGAACACTTGCCCGGAAACCATGAAGCGTTTGCCCCTGAACCCAGACACATTGTGATAACTTACCGAAGTGCTTGTCGTTGGTGTAGCTGGTTGAATAGCCGGCTTGGCAGCTTTTCTCGCACTTGTTCGTGGGTTCGAGATCTGACGGGCAAGGCTAAAAATAAGGGTCAGAGTGCTGGAGCGCCAAGTGATAGAAGTCAAGCTCACCTTGTAGTGAGTAGCATTGTTGTGGTGCTCGCAAGGTGGGAATGGATAGGGTTTGCAACCAGCCTGAAGTTACATTTCAGTTTGCAGCAAACCTCAGCCCAATTATGGTCTTATACCTTTGAGGTGTAGTTGCCTCCTGTGACAACACCGTGTTTCACCCAGAATTTCCATGCCTCGAGTGGGTAGCCTCCCTCACATCTGGAAAGTGTTAGCAGGTCTTTGAGCATGGTAATCATTCCAAATGCTGTATTTTCTGCACGAAGGTACTAGGCCGAGAACGGGTCGTTTCGACGGTGCACTCCAGGAGGTCCGAGTTGTAGCGAAGGCGACGCTACAAGCAGGGTCCATGCGCGCCATTCACACAGATCAAAACTGGCTTTATGCGAAAATGGTACTGTTTGCCATATGGACTAACTAATTGGTTTACGCGACAAGGGGGTCCTGCACGTCGACGCGGAATCCTGACCGTCCTTAATACAGGATGGAAAGATCCTACTGTACTTTGACTCACCCATTTCCGCAGATAAGTCCGCAGCACGAGAGGATGTCATCAGCCGAAATGGTGAATTGTTCCTTACCATTTGATGCAATACAGATGCGATCAGTCATCGCTTCAGCTGCTCCAAATGCCCAGCAGGATCCTAAAATTCGAAGATGGAGAGCCGATCAAATTCGCTTTCGGCGTTAATCTTCATTCGTTTTAATTTGTTACGCAACACTTTTTTTCTTCCGCTCACATCACCTATACATTGGTTTGCGGGGCCAGCCGGGCTGCAGATGTCAATGCTTTGGCCCTTTGACGAATCTGCTGTTAACTAACCGACGTCAGAATGCCGAAAAGCTTCAAGTAGGTGCAAGCATTTCTCTTCACGGAATTCCGTGACCATACTCGCAATGTGGGCGTGTCTTGCTATCACAAGCTTTCGAGGTTCATCTAAGCCTGGATTATGTTGCTGTGGATTTTGGATTGAAACGGGATTGGAGCTTCTCTTTTGTTGCGAAATTAAACCGGTCAAGGTATCAGACACCTCTCCCAGAATAATGGTAGATTGTCCCTCTCCGTGGTATTACTAGGTTGCCGTTCCTCATAGGGATCAGGGCCCGCCGTAAGTTAGGAAATTCAAGTGATGAATTGAGGCCCGTGACGCTAGTTGAGCCGTGGAGAGATCTGCATTGTCACGAGCCCTCCCGTTGATAAAGGATGCGAAAATTCTGGTTCAAAAATGAGTTGCGAAAACATTGATTCAAAAATAAGATTTTCTCTGCTTCTGGCGTGCTCGCAGTGCTTTTTCCTGGAAGCTGGAGGCAAGAAACAAGTATGTTAGAGACAGCCCCCGCGCTCAAGTAGTACATGGCCGCCCTTCGGTCGGTCGCGAGGAGTGAGCTACACCCGCTGAATGCTAGTTCTAACGCCCGCCCAGTTGGACCGCCCACTTGCTAGATGCCCTCTGACGGAGGGCCGCTCAGTTGTTCTTTGTTGGGGCGGCGGGCATTAATCGGAATTGCATGTCCTTTTTGCTGACCGCGCTCGTGCCCATGAATGATTCTGCTCTCCTTTACATTTTATTCATCAGGAGCACATACAGTCAACTCCAACCCATCTCGCAAGAAAAAACGCGTGAAAATCACGAGCGACCCAATTTTCGTGGTGCAAAAGCTCGCTCTTTTGAAGTTTCTTTTCCTTTTCAGTTCCAGAGTTTTTTCCGTGATTTTGTTGTTTTCCGCTGTCTTCTTGCACTGGATGATATCCACTACTGGAGATGTGATAAAAGGATTTGTGAGCCAGGGGTTGCACAGAGACCGCAGGGAGGTGTGACTGTCAGGGAGCGATTTTGTTATGGTGTTTTCGAGGGCTTTGAAGCACTTATCAGCTACTGTTTCATAATTGAAAAGCAACTATCCATGACACTTTTATCGCGGGAGCTGTCTTTAAGGCTGGACTCCCAGGTTGGAAAGAGTTTTACCAAGGCGGCGGACGAGAGAAGGTTGTGGAAGTCCTCATCACCATGGTGTGCCCTGAAGGCATCCTTTATGGTTCCACTCTACAGAATCTTACAAGTCGAAAAGCGGAAATCGCAGCTAGCAGCTTTTTTTTCATATTCTGCGGAATTGTGGCAGTTGTTTCCTTCAAGTAGAGACTCACCGCATGAAGACTGGTCGCGGATCGAGCTGATTGATGGGCACTGAGGCCAGTTTGTTCGGGCATCGAAGGAATCAGGAATCGAAGCGTCAGCGATATCGTCGTGGGTCTTCTCATTCCCCTGAAATACTCTATTTTTCTCCTAGATACATCAGTTAGGCCTGTAGCAACTTACTCGGAGTACTTCAGGAATAGCGACGTGCTTCACTCCCATGAGACGTTTCTTGACCTCTTCTGGATACTGTGCGAAACGGGGGGACAACTCAGCCTAGAATCATGAGGACATTACCACAGAGGACTTTATTTCTGTTGATTAGTGCTGAAATCCACTGGAATCTGCACTTACCGTGAACAAATTTTGAGCTTTGTTGACGTATTCGATCAGATCGAGACCGGTCAGCAGTTCGGCCTCCCTGAGAATTCTTTCTGGAAAAAATCAAATCAATGTTGGAATATTCGAAGCACAGTCCACGACAATCGCGGAGGCGATAACGGCTCAACATTATGCCTTATTCGGTGGTCACTATCATCAAGTAGGAACGCATTAATGAAAAGGTACAACAGTTGGTTGTCTCCGCCCACATTCAGCGCGGACTTGTTCTAGGCTGTGACTTTACTTCGGCTGCATTTCTCTCTAGAGACTGCAAATTTTCTCTTTGCAACAATTTTGGCTTAAAGTACACTAAAACTTGGGGATGTCATCTACTTTTCGCAGGATGCAAAAGTAGCTGATCTGGTACGCGGCTGCGTGACTACATCTCGCCCTTTTTCTCATCCACCTCAGAGAACTAGTGTTTGGGCGCAGTTCGGCGACGAGGGGGGGGGGATGGAGGGACATTTTGCACTTTCGCTGTTTCACTAGTTCCGGTTTACAAGTCTCACTCTTGTAGCTCTTTGAACTAATGTGAAGCTGGAGCACCATGGTAAAACCTCTCAACCCTAGTAAGCTCACGAGCTGGCTCTCTGTGGGGCCGACACACGGTCGAAAATGAAGTGCGAAATGCCCCCGTCGCCAAACTCCTCACGTTTGGACGTGTACTAGTATTTCGGCTGCAGGGTGTTTTGGGAGGAGCTCCATTTTGAATAGTAGAACTTCCAATGCTTGTATTCATTCTGCACTGTCTCTGTGAGAGGGGGCAGAACAAACGGAGAATGAGGATGTGAAGTTGGCGCGGCCATATTTCGCTGCGGCCAACTGTTCTCCCTGAATTCCTGCTAGGCAGCAGAAAGTTGTATTTGGAAAAATGAGCAGGTGAAAAACTCCTGATGGCGGAGCATCCAGTGGGAGAGCGCGAAGAACAGAGCGCAGCGACGACGGAGGAATCTCTGATGGTTTACCATTATTCAAGGCGTTGCAAACCACAATAAAACGTCACACGGAGGCTTACCAGTGAAATTGCGTGCGGGACAATGCGCCAGGAAAAAAAAAAAAAAAAAAAAAAAAAAAAAAAAAAAAAAAAAAAAAAAAAAAAAAAAAAAAAAAAAAAAAAAAAAAAAAAAAAAAAAAAAAAAAAAAAAAAAAAAAAAAAAAAACAATGGCCGCTGAGCCTTTTGTAGTAAGCGATAACTAATCGCTCCACAGATAACGGCTACGCCAGCTGGCGCGGGCCGCTCCCATTGACGTCTTTTCAGAAAACGGTTTTTGGCCACTAATTATCTAACGGAGAGAACAAATGCCCAAATTCTTGAATTTATACAGTTTCGTCTGACTACGGAGTGGTGATTGGCACAGTAAAAAAAGAGCAGAAACCCGTCAAGAGCGCCTCAAATAAGATCCCTCATAACTCTGACATCACACGAGCTCAGTGGCACTCGGACGAGTTTTTCATTCTGCTGACTTCATGTGAGCAGATCAGTGTCAGCGCAGATTAAGCACCGCCACAAACTGTTATTGTAGTGCATATCTTCCCCTGTTTTTATTTATCCTGTACGCTGTGCAAGACAACCCGAAAAACAACAGAGAGCAAAAAGCAGAATTCCAGGAAGTATTGGACATTAGAAAGGTACGGAAAAAGACCAACGACAAGTAGTACTGTTCAGCAGTTGCTCGATGACCGGCAAAAGGCTGCACAACAGTAACCGCAGAACACTCTTATGTTTTCTGAAATCTTACACACTTTCACAATGATTGCAGAGCTCTCTCAGTAAGTCATAATCTCTTTCCTAAACGACTGAAATACAATCCCACCTCCACTGGAGGCCGTCTACCACAGAACACAGTCTGCAATTACTCTTATGTGAGTGGTTGAATAACAGCTTCTGTTTGCACAAGACAGCCCTGTTCGTAGTTGTGGAGGTTAGCGGCTCAAAAATAGGAGGTAAAACAGTCAGATGTCTGCCATCAAGGCTAAGCTCCGCCACGCTGGTCAGCCGCTCCTAATTTCATTTCGTTTTACAGGATACCCGTCTGCTTACTTTAAAACCGCTTCGTCTGGTTTTCTTCGACAATGTTTCTTAACTGTAGGCTCGGAATCAACAGGCAACTTGGTCAAGGCAGAGAGTTTTTTTCCAAGAGTTTCTCCTGTTTTCTCTTCATGGATATCCAGCGCGAACGGAAAAAATAGTAGTACTAAACTCGCCTAAGAAGATTGAAAAACATCTATTCTACATTAGCGCCCGCCCCTCTCCCTCCCCCTCCACCTCAGCCCCCCACAATGGGCCAGTTAACAATCAAAAGCCATCAAGGCGCTAAAGGGGAAAGAAATGTTCGCAGCATTCAGAAAAGTCATCCATAGAAGTAAAAGCTTCAACATTCGAGTTTTTCGATGCAGTATTGCTTCTCATTTTGTCGTCATTCCTCAAAGTGCTGGGGAATTTTCGGCGACATGGTTAACTTTGATGTCTTAGTCTTACCTGACCCATCAGAAGAGGGAACACATCTGCTCGGGTGTTCGCTTCCCTCTTCCTTTACTTTTTGTGCAACTTTCAAGAAACCTAGGCTTTTCCCAAATCATTATAAACTTCGAAAACGGCTACAATATCAAAGTAGCAGTGGCGTGATCCATCGCAGTAATCCTCAAAAATTTTGTCCCGGCAACGGATTCAATCAGCCAAATTCTATTTTCCAGAATAGCTTTTTAGGCGTAGTTGATTTGAGCAAACAAAGTTCCTATGTGCAAATTAAAAATTGTAGGCAAAGCTATTTAAAAAGCGCGACTTGGGCTTGCTCCAAGTTTTTTTTTGTAGCTGTAGCTA